AAATTAAAAGTTGTTTTCATCTTCATCTTTACGCAGTTGCTCTGAAAATCGCGCTGGAGTCCAGTGGTTTAGCTGAGTGTTGACTAACATCTAGCCATAGAGTACCTAATTTGAATGAATAAAGAGGTCATGGGTAATGACCAAGGGATTTCAAAGGTGTCATTATGTTGAGAGAAGAGTTTAAGACTGAAAGTACTATTCTAACGGATGCTCTGCTAGACGGCAGCCTTTTTCCGAGAAGTACACTGAAACAAAACACATTTCTGGTGTTTACTTATTTCAATTGTTCATTGAACATATCTGAAAACCGATTCAACCTTGCTCATTGTTTCAACTGATAGCTCTTTAAAAGCATTCGTCAGCAATGCAATTTTCATATAGTATATATGGGTCGAGCAGAACAACGGTACTGCTTGCGAACAAAAAGTATGAAATGTATATGCGTGTTTCTAGAATCTGCCATTAGTATCCCTGTTACGTTTAAGTTTCTACATAAGTGGTAAACTTACTGTATAAATTAACTCTTGGTCCTCTTAACAAGCGATTGGTGATTTGCCTTATTATCAAATAATTTTTTCTTGGTTTTGTTGCTTTTCAGTACTTTTGTTGTGGTGATCGCCTGAAGAAAAAAATGAAGCTACAGTTTTTCACTCATAAGGAATTAAAAAGCAGCTATTATATATTTAATAAAATATGTAGCGTACGTTGAAGCTGATAGACGATTCAGATATATCAGTGACTAACCTGAAGAATAGACGCGCGGTCTTCATGCAGTTACTGAGAGATATACCATTAGAATGAGTCCATTTGACGACTTTCTCTTTTGACTGTAAATGTAGAAGTGCCACGTTTGATGGCTGCTAGCATAGTCACTATTTGACCATTCGGTTACTGAAAGTTGGAGGTCGCCTGCTTGGATAAGGTGGTTTATGCATTTGAGTATTATTGTTCACTTCTTATGAGACATCGTTTTAGTCTCTGACAATGGTGCTGCTGACTTTCAGAAGTATCGCTGGAATCAGGTATGTTGTAGGTTGTTTTTAGAAGAATTTCTGAGCAAAAGGCGGTGAAAAATGTGCATGTGGTATAGGTGCAGAAGATGTAAAGCAGAATTTTTTAGTAGACTGTGCATGATCACAGATTCTCTAAATTCGAATATGGCCATCTGTGATGTGCTTAATCATCGTTTATTGCACCGTGAAAATTTAAATTTTAGACGTTTCATGTACTGTATATTTGTAGTTATATACTGAACTGCTGTTACTGCAGTCTGTAATTAGGAACTCTGTGGTTGAGTTTTAGTGAAGGTATTGCAACTCTGTCTCAAGATCTGGTAGGCCGTAGTGTTTGTTATTTGTCGTATTAAGGTAAGTGTATGTAACATGGTGGCCACAATCGTATAATTATGAGGCTTTTAGATTTACGCTTTATTCTTTTTGAGTATCTGAGCTTGGCTTTGAAATGGTAAAAATTTCAAACACTTATAGCTCGCGTTCATTTTGTGATATTATTTGGCTGTTATCTTTAATTTCTACAAGATGCTTCAGGACTTCTCTAGCCGATATTTTTAAATTTTGACGTTAAGGGGTGGAATTTATCTTACACTTCTCACTGACAAGCCTGAAGCAACTACAGCAGTCGGAATGAGCTTGTTTTTGGTGTCAACGTATCTTTGCCAGTAAAAAAATCGATCTGCCAGTAAGAACTGGAAGTTAGAGACTTACAGTTAAGTAACTAGAGCCATCGATATTGTTAACGAAGTCCGGTGGTAATTTGAAAACTTAGTGACAGGTCGTCGAGTACAAAGCGTCTGGAATTACATTAAGCTTTATAACTTCATTTATTCAAAATAATTGGCTGAAATAAGCATCTGCTTTCTTATTTTTAGAGCTAGTTGCAGATTTGAAAATTTCTGTTCTTAAAAATTTGACTTGTTAGAGTTTAAGGATAAAGAAGGAAAAAAACACTGCTATTCTTAGAGTTCTGTTTATTGCTTTCTGTTGGAGAAAGCGGAAGGAGTAGAACAGATGAGAAGAATTGTTTAAGTTTTTGACAGAATATGCAGGAACCAAATAAGTGCAGCTTAATTGTAGCGGTTGAACACTGACTTTTTGCTGCTTTGGGAGAGTTGCCTCTAGAATTTCAGAATGGTTGTTCAGCAAATAATTGGTTTTTTTTTTTATTACTTTGGTAGCGTCTAACTTCTAAGAATTTTTTATTACGTTTTTAGCTGCGGACGTGGAGATTTTGAAAGTTTTATCTATAAATTTTCTGTTAAAGAAGAACTTTTATGATCATTTGTCAGGTTATCACAGTTCTTTTGTTTTTTTTACAACTAATTTATTTTTTTAGAAAATTTTAAACCAATTGTATTTTACTGGTATGGCAAGTGAAGTTCAATTTAAATAATACGGTGCGCGAATCTGTTTTGTATGATGCAAGTAAAAAGGTGATATTTTTGGACTATTGCGTTTCAAAATACAGTTTTGTTCATATTCTTTGCCTTTAATTATCCGCATTTTTATATTTAGTGGAGTAGCTGTTTTCCCAAAATTGTAGTTCAGGTCACTTATTTCAGGTGTCGCTTTGGGGTGGTAAAATAGGGCATAAAATCAAACTATAAAGGGACTACTAAAATGTCTGCTTATTTATGGAGAAAACTGCGGCAAATTGATAAATATGTAGGACGGTTCTTATTTTTGCTGTAAATAGATTCAAGAAAATTGAGTATAAAGGGAAGTCTTTGGCCAATTTTCTTTGTCAATTTAACCATCTTCCCTCTCGAAGTTTGCATTTAGTTTCCTTTTGCTTATATTTTTTCATACTTCTATCTGCTTCAGAATGCTATTCAACTGCTGATATCTTGAAGTTTTAAGATTTTTTTTGTTTCAAATGAATTTTTTTAGACCTTTATTGAATTAAACGTGCTCAATAACGTTTTTTTTTTGTGGTTCTTGGAATTTTTTATTTGTTTTTTTTTTTTTTCAGATCAATTTCTGACGTTTCGATTAACGTTATGCAAAGGTACGAACGAAAAACTAGTGTGGCACTCTTGAGTTGTCAGAAATGTTAATCATTGCATGAGAAAATTTTGAAAGTCTATTCATTCTAATTGCCAGTTTATACTCGGCGTTTGTCAAGAACAAAGTAGAAGACTTCTTCATTGAGGTAAAATGAGATTTTAAGAAACTGCTGTCAAGCGACAGCAGCAAGATGTGAAATTACATTAGAGATTCTCAGAATGTATGGTTTAGAGCTGAATGTGATAAGATCATAAAAATATTTACGAATTCTGTACAAGGGCAACAGATGTGATACCTACGATAACACTTGAGGTGCTCAGCGTACATCGAACATACAAAGCTGTGTTGATCAGTTTTTGATTTAGAACTTG